TCTGGAGTTTTTAAACATGGACTTCGCCATTTCTGCAGCGAATGTCACGAGCTAGTACCAATTGCAGCCGCGAACAACGCTGTTCCACCGTCTATCGACTTCCACTGAAGAGCGAACTATTTGGAATAAATTAACGATTAACCACGAGATTCAGCTGCCACAAACATTGATCAAAAGTTCGCGGACAACAATGCAATGACGTCACGCGTTCTTCCGGGATCCAGCATCATGAATTTCGCAATTTTGTCTTATATTAAAGGTAACACATTTTCACGGCGGTTTTTTTTTCTGTTTCTCGCTATGTTTAAGGATACGTTTTCTAGAAACCAAAGTAGGAAATCATGGTTGATCAGTATTATGTGCTTTTGGAAAATGATCATTATAGTGAAGAAGTAAATATTTATCTAAACATCGGCAAGCTGAAAAAGGAGTCGATGTAATCTTAATGAATGTCTAAAACTTTACTATTGTTCTTACCCGAAATGTATTATGTTATTCGAGACTTAAAAAAGAAAAAAACAAAACAACTGACAAAAACGGTAAAAACAACACTTCAAAGAAATACTCAGCAACAGACTTATGACCGGCCCAAGCGGCGAAGACGGACGGGAAGGCTCACTCGAACAGGGCTGACAGGGTACAGGTTTCATGTGTTTCATGAGTTGTTCAAGTATTTGAAAGGAATCAGGAAAGGGAAATCTGTTAATTGGCCTACTGAAAGGGCCTCCAATCAAAACATTTCGAACAGACGCAGCTTTGGTTACCCTTTTTTAATATATATATTCAGCTATTTCGAGACTGAGGTTGTCGGAAAAAGTGCACGCAACAATCCCGTAAGGTATTGTGGGTGGTTTTGAGTTCGCTGTTTTTCCAAGGAATGGACGTATGTCTGTGAGTGCTAAAGGAAAGCAACAAAAGTAGGTTCGACAGCTGCAGTGTCAGGAACAGTACTGATTGATCATGTACCATATTACCTTTCGGGATTGTCGCGCGCACATTTTTTCCGACAACCTTTCTCAAAATAGCTGTATGTAAGAACAACCATTGAAGCCCACTGCTTCTTGACGAATGTCTGAATGAAAAGCTCATTCGCTCACACCATGGTCATCATGCTATCAGCTATGCAATGTTTAATTGTTTTCTGGAATTACGTACTGAATCATGAGAGGTGATAAGGTGGGATGGTTATACATTACAATAATGAATTTACACCCAAGGCTTTTCGGCTTTTTAATGGCTGTCACTTGTTTTAACAGAAATTATGGTACCTAGAACTGAGGTCCTATAACTTGACCACATGAACGAAAACTGCAGCCCTAAACACGGAGAGTAAAACTTTTATTTCAGCATAGACCCAAATTCAAAATTGAGTGTGTGGTACTTATACTTACGATAAACGTTCTCTTATGAGAGAAGCGACGACCTGAAATAAGTCTGCGTGCGCAGGCTGGAGCACAAGTGCCAGTCATACCACAAACTCATACCACAAAGCAGGAGCGTAGTGTCCATACCACGGACATACGCCCGTTCGTGCAGCTGAAATAAAAAATATATATATATATATATCAGTTTATTTCCTAAAAGAACCTTTATCATTAATCGGGATGACTGATATATTTTTGGCATTATATTAGAGTCTTGGTGTTAGTCTTTCCTTTATCTTTTTATTATTCCACGAACTGACGGCAAGAAACGTTATAGTGGGTACCGACCCCTCCATATATCCCGGAGCATATGTTGCTCTCATAACGTTGTTGCCTTGATCCTGTGTCAACATGCACAGTGGTTCAACAGCATGAAGAGACTGAAGACTCCTTTACGAAGCAGCATGACAGACGAAAAACTGAGCTGGCTCTTGCAATTCGGCACATAGTTAAGCGCAAGGACGTTGATAAACATGGTAGTCTTTACACAGTAACTAGACAGTACTAGATCCCAGATTAACTTAGGAATTTAATTTCATGTCACGTATTTTTTTTTACCTACTTACTTACTAACACTTAACACTTCACACACAAGCGCCGTTCTTACTTCAAAGTAAGTTTAGCTCGATTGAAGCCGAGTTGGCACTTTCAGCCCTCGGCGAGAAATTTAAACAAAAACGGTCGCGATGGCTCTTTCGTCGAACACTAAAGAAGAGAAGGTTTGTACTTCCTTGTATGGCTTTAATTTTCCGACTTGAAAAGAATGAGATGAAAAGTAAAATTATTTGAGATTAGGCGCGGATCCACACCGGTTTCCACCGTTTTACGGAAAACGGTCAGATTTTACATAACAGACACATTTTTAATAAAGAAAAATCTTTCGAAGTTGCAAGGCTTTTTCCGAGGAGAATGGAACTGGCCCATATCCTAAAATTCCCGCGGCAGCATGCCACCGGATCCCCCCCGTCCCCCTCACCTCAAGAAGCTTGCGCCTTACGTGCTCGTTTAGGAACTCGGTCAGTCAGTACATCCTACATCCGCGCCTGGAGATCTTACCTGGATCTTCACACATATGCATTTTTGGTGACCGGTAAAACTATCTTACAGTAACAGCCTTAAGTATAAAAACTACCATTGATGGAGTTGTAACATAGTTTGCCCGTCTGAAGGGTAGACGTCTAGCCCTTTGCTTGTAACCTCCTTGATGCATGGCGTCAGACGATAAATTTAAACGTTTTTCTGGGGGAACATGTCCCCAGGCCCCCTGCCCGCAACCTCGGCGCTCTTACTTTTCTTCCCGTGCGTAACACCATCAACAAAATCGCACTCTACGCCCCTGCCAAGCTAGTGAATAGTGCTTTTATCAGGAGGGGGGCTGAAAACTAGAGGGGG